GATCCTCCTTCCTCAGCCTCCTGAGTGCTGGGATTACAGGTGTGCACCACCATACATGGTGATTTGAACTTTTTTTTTTTTTTTGGCGGAACCGGGGATCAAACTCAGGCCCTTGCGCTTGCCAGGGAAGTGCTTATTCTACTGAGCCATCTACCCCGCCCCTTGAACTTTTTTTGTATTAATGTTGTAGGAAAATGAAATGACCAAAGCATCATTTCCCCCCTTTGCTTTGGGCTAGCCTACTGCAAATGGGAAAATTGTATTTTGACTTTTTTTTTTTTTTTTTTTGGTGGTCCCAGGATCAAACTCAAGACCTTGCACTTGCCAGGCAAGCACTTATTCCACTGGACTATCTCCCTGGCCCCTGTATCTTGACATCTTTCCTGGAATATGAAATATGGTGTGCAAGGATTAAAAGCAAAATCTACCTCCCACCCACCAGCTTCTCCACAAGAGTCGTCTGAGAAGGAAAGCGACTTGTGACCAACCTGGCCTTTGCCTGAACATGCAGTGGAGGTGTCCGTCTCTGCTCAGTGTTGCGTTTCTCCTGGCCCCATCAGGTCATCTCCTGTGGTCCATGCTGTAGGAGCGGCTTCTCCTGCCCGATTCTGCCGTGGCTGACCCCTCCCCGCCCCTGCTTCCCGCCCCCTTCTTAGTCACAGAAAGATCCCTCTCCTTGTTTCCTATTTTCTGTCTTTTGTTTGCTCTTTAACTTACTTGTACTTGGGTCTCTGAGGAGAACATGTGTGGTGAAGCTGAATGCCGCCATCCTGTGCGTCTGCCTTCCTGCAGAGCTGACCTTTATGCCAAGGCGTGCTCCACAGGGCGGGACCTCCTTACTGCGTCTTCAGGGTGGATTGGCGGTCTTGAGGTGCTTTCTTGGAGCACTGTGCAGTGACCCGCCACCTGGGGACCTCCTAGCATGGTCCTGCAGGACCCCGGGCACTCCCTGCAGTGCTGCAGCATGGGTGGCAGGTGGAGTCAGGCTGGGTGCTGGGGCCAGGCTGTCTCCCTGAGCTTTGTTTGAAGCAGGTTCCCAGGTCTGAGGCCTCCCTCGCTGGAGATCGTAGCTGGAGATCGTTGGGGTTTGTGTTGGCCATGTAAGACATTGTACCAATGAAGCTGCAGCACAAACCGAGTTGATGCCTGGGCTGTAGAGGCAGGTTTATTTACATCACCAGACACCAATCAGGATCATTCCCAGAATATCAGGCCCTGATCTCTGGTGGCCTAGGGCCGAGATGGGATGGCAAGCAGGAAGTGCAGAGGCAGCTTGGCTTGGCCACTGGGGATTGGTTTGTTTCTTTCTTTCTTTCTTTCTTTCTTTCTTTCTTTCTTTCTTTTTTTTTTTTTTGGCAGAACCAGGGATTGGACTCAGGCCCTTGCATTTGTCAGTGAAGCACTTATTCCACTGAGCCATCTCCCCAGCCCCAGGGATTGGTTTCTGAGAGATGGGAGCAACCAGAACTGAAACAGGAGCTGTTACCTGGGCAACCACAAAGCTGAAGGGTCCTGGCTGGGGGTCTTTCTAGATCCGCCCCCTTCAGTTTTCCTGGCAAATCTGCCAAACATGCTATGTGTGGTGTTCTGGGACAAGGCCTGGCCAAAAGCAGTAACATCAGGGCTCTCAGTGGTTGGGGGTGGGTCCTAGCCGAGCTCCCAAGATCCTTATTAGAGTTTTTCTTAGATTGTTTTTAGGAAGAGATGTAATTTAGCCTGTGTGCTCTGCCACACACTCTGGCAAGGTAGTAAGGGAGTTAATCTTTTTTTTTTTTTTTTTGGCGGAACCGGGGATTGAACTCAGGCCCTTGCGCTTACCAGGGAAGCGCTTATTCCACTGAGCCATCTCCCGGCACCTTGAGGGAGTTAGTCTTATCTAGGAGCGTGTCCACTGTGCCCCGGACACTCATCAAATCTTGGTTGAGTGATTGTTTTTTGGGGGGGCAACCATCCGTAGAGTTGAAGGCAAGGACCACAGCTAGCAGGGGATGGGGCAGCGAGGACTGGGGTCAGTCGTCTGCAGAGACACAGACCAAGCGGCACAGGTATGGAGCAGTCCTGTGAATGGCGGCCTCAGGCCGCCGCCGCGCATGGACTGGTCAGCGTCCAGCGTGACCAGAGTGAGCCGTAGAGGAGCTGCCCAGGTAAATCTGTTCGCAGATCGAGTTTCTGAAGCTTGTGGAGGTTATTAGTGTGCACCTGGGCCATGTGTGTATGCTGGCACAACTGCAGCGACAGCTGTAACTTTTTTAAATCTTTTATTTATGTATCAAGTACAGGGTCTTTTTTTTTACATTTATTTATTTATTTATTGTGTGTGTGTATGTGTGTATGTGTGTATGTGTGGCCAGCTCAGCCCACCAGGGGGCGCAGCTGGCTGGCATGTGGTGCTGGGGGATCGAACTGCGGTCCCTGTGCTTTCCCAAGCTTGTTCCAAGTAGGTGCTTTAGACCACTGAGCCATCTCGCCAGCCCAAGTACAGGGTCTTGCTACACAGCTTGGACTCATAGTGATCCTCCTGTCTCAGTCTCCCCAGTGCTGGGATTACAAGAGTGCAGCCACGGTTTCAGTGGCCAGCTTGGCAGGGGCCAGAACAGCATGTGGTACCAGAAATCAAACTTGGGACCTTGTGCTTGCCAGGCAGGTGCTTAGACCACAGAGCTATCTCTCCAGCCCACTGTAGCTTTAACTAAACTTGTGGAGCTGGCTATGAGCCGTTCTGAGCTGGCCACAGGGTGCAGGCACCAGCGAGGGCTGTGGGTGAGCTTGCAGAGATAGGGTGGGGGCAGGGCCGGCTCTGACATTGGTGGCTGGTTTCCAAGCAGCAGCAGCAGCAGCAGCACAGGCAGAAGCAGGTGACTGCAGCAGGTCTGGCCAGTCCTCGCAGGAGCTGCTCCCATCCTAAACAGTGTCTCAGCATCTGTCAGGGAGGGGGATTTAAAGTCTGATTGGCCTGAGTTTACCAGACAGTGCCAGGCAGTCATGGGCTGTTGGGCCCAGCTCTGTAGGCAGGGAGGTGGCAGGATTGAGTGGTTTTGTCACCTTCCCGTCGGGACCCAGAGAAGTGCTTGCTCCACCAAGAGGGCCATGGCCAGTGACCCAAGCGGTCGGCATGGTCGATCTTCCTGGCAGACACACCAGATATACCGAAATGACACCAGATTTGGAGGCAGCTTTTTGTTTATGTCACTGGGCACGGATCCAGATGAATCCAGAATATCAGGCCCTGATCTCTGGTTGTCTAGGACTTACATGGGATGAAAAAGTAGGAAGTGCAAAGGCAGAGCAGCTTGTCCGCTGGAGATCGGTTTATTCAGTGTGCAGTATCATAGGGACCGGCTGTGCGTCACAGAGATTGGCTGTTTCGAACTTGCAGCAATCCTCCTGCCTCAGCCTCTTGAGTCCTGGGCTCATAGATGTGAGCCATCCGCTATCACTTTCTTGGTTTTCACTTTTAGGATTCTAGAATGGCTTAGCAATCTCTGCAGTCATGTGACGCAGCCCTAAGGGGATGAGTGTACTTGTCCTGATTTGTATTTGTTTGCTTCTACTCATTTCGTCATAGAATGAAAATTATTCTAGACGGTGGCCCAGAGTGGCCACCTACTGAGATTGTATTATGAGTGAATTTTTACACATTTAACTAAAGGCTGAATCTCTGAACAGCTCTAAAATTAAAAATACTACCATTGTGCTCTGAAACTGACGTCACTCGGGCCACGTGGTATGGCTGATCCACGTAAGCCCCGTGGCAGCTGTCTGGTCGCAGTGTGCTCTCCCCGGCTCACAGAGTGGCTGGTGTGCTGAAGACAACACCATCCTTTTCTTCCAGTTCCTACGTGAGATTTGACGTCATCCGGAGGCTCCTGACCAAGGTCTTTGGATGCAGTGTTGTCATGGTGATGGGCATCACGGACGTGGACGATAAGATCATCAGGAGAGCCAGCGAGGTGAGCGGGCCATAGCACGCGGGCTCGGGCACCTGCCCGTCCTGGCATGGCTCCTGTTGGATGGCGAGGTGCTGGCCTGGCTTCTTGCTCAGGGCGACTAGAAGGCACCATGGTGACCAGGGCAGACCCTGCCTCCGCCCTGGCACGGGTACAGGCCACGGACCCTCAGGTGTTACTGAAGGGGATGCCTGGTGACCTCCACGTGGGGACCTGGCTGTCGCCAGGAGAGTGCATGTGTGTGTTGCGTTGAGGCATGTGGCTCAGGCGTGGGTGCAGGGACGGGAGTGCACACAGCTGGGCCTGGCCAGGGAGCACGTGTGTGTGTTGGCCGGGACCCTGCAGCTGTGCGGAGGACTGAGAGCCCAGGGCCGTCACCTGTGACTTTGTGGTGGTCTCAGTGGCCACGGCATGTCCTGAGGGGCTCAGTGTGGGCCGTGGCCCCCAGTGGCCTAGAGGGCGGTCGCTGCACAGGCCTGAGCTCCGGAGCGCGGAGCAGGAGGGTGTGGCTCTGGGGCGGTTTTCTTGTCTCTGCTGCGTACACGGCACGGACAGTTGTTTTTGCTAAAAGGTCTGTTTCACCCCAGAGCGGAACCCAGGCCCTGCCCCGTGTGGTGCTGGGCACTGTGTCTGCGCCTTCACCAGGGACGTTGGTCCCCCACGTCTGCAGGGCCATTAGGGGACTCTGCCCCTGAGGGACGCACAAGGCCGAGGGGTGGCCTTCCTTACTGTGTGCTCGTGCCATGCTGTTGGGGTGCCTGGGCCTCGGGAGACACGGCTCCTGACCCACGTGTGACACTGGGCAGCTTGCAGACTTGCCACGCACACCTGTCACCAGGTGCAGGATTGCTGTGAGTTCGTGGCCAGCCTGAATTGTACAGTAAGACCCTGTCTCAAAACCAAAACAAATTATATAACGGAAATCATGGTGTTATTTATTCTTTTTGTCGTCATCAGCTAGCAAGGCTCACGAAGCCTTTAGTGTAAGAGCTGTTTGCTGTGCTGAGGCAGGGTCTCTCTGCGGAGTTCACGCTGCCCTTGACCTCACTGTGCTGCCCAGGTCACCTGAGCTGGTTCCTCTTGACTCACCCCTGGGCGCTGGTGCAGGGTTAGCACTGGAGGGTCGGCAGCCCTTCCTGGAGGGTGGTGCCCAGCTGTGGAGCCCTTCAGGGTCCTTCAGGCCATTGACCCTGGCCCCCCTGCAGATGGATGTGTCACCTGTCACCCTGGCCAGGCTGTATGAGGAGGATTTCAAGCAGGACATGGCGGCCCTGAAGGTAGGCTTGGCAGGCTCAGGTGTCCTCTGATGCCTGGCTTCACATAGGGGACCAGTGTCGGACCAGGGCTCACTGCCCGGCCTGTGGTGGGCCTGGATGGGGGCCATCATTGACTTGAGCACTGCCACAGCAGCAGATGCCCCTGGCTCAGGGTCTGGTGGCTTTGTCTCCGGCGTACCTGGAGTGGTGCAGGAGGGGCTGTTGGGGCAGTGCTGGCCACAGTGGCTGGCCAAGCCCTGGCTGGGCAACTGAGAGTTTTGGCGCCGCACCACCCCTGCCGCAGGTGCTCCCGCCCACTGTGTCCCTGAGAGTGACGGAGACCATTCCGCAGATCATTGCCTTCATCCAGGGCATCATGGGACATGGGCACGCGTATGCCACCGAGAGAGGTACGGACCAGTGCAGGGGCAGTGCAGCAGGGCCCGTGGTGGCACTGTGGGAGGTGCTGGGATGGCAGTGCTGGGACAGGTTCTGGGTCCCCGCAGCGTTGGCCCTCCTGGCGGGGCTGTCCCCTGTGGCTTCTGGCCCGTGTGCTGATGCCACGTCCCCATCAGTCACCCAGCCCCGTGGGGCCCCTGCTTGCCCTGAGTGGAGCCAAGATCACACCCTGTATGGCTCTGGCCTGGGGACCCCGCACTGCCCTTCAGGGACTTCTTCACAAGTCCAGGCTAGGTGCCGCCCTTGGTCCTGGGCTCCCCTGTCTGCATCCAGGCACCCCCTTGCCACCCCTGCTTTCCAGCCTTCCTAGCCCTCCATCCCTGGAGTCCATCTCTGAGGGGTTTGTGTTTGCTGCCCACAGCTGTGCGTCCTGCTTCGGCCTCAGGGTCTGCGTGCACTGCGCAGCAGCCAGGTGTAGGCTTTGCTGTTTACAGAAGTCGGGTTTCCTCTGTCCAGATGATAAATTTTCAGACCATGTAAACCTTTAGCAGCCAGGCAGGGTGGTACACATCATTCCAGCACTCAGAAGGCTGAGGCAGGAAGATCATTGCAAGTTTGGGACCAGCCTGCACTACAAAGTGAGCTGGAACCCAGCCTGAACTGCAGAGTGAGCGATACCCTGTCTCAAAAAGACAAAAAAAATAATAAAGTTTTTGGCCTTTGGGCCAGGGGTCAACACCTGTAATCCCAGCTCTTGGCAGGAGGATCGCCTTGAGACCAGCCTGAACTGCCTAGTGAGACCCTGTCCCAAAACACCAAAACCAAACAAAGCCCCGCTCTTAGTTCAGGTAGCACGGGGACACCCAGCCCAGCCGAGCTGGGCAGGCCCTGCCGGGCAGGCTGTGGGGTGCATGCTGGCTGTGACGTGCCTGAGAAGAGTGCTCGCCGGTCCTCTGGTACTCGTGCAGCTCCGCGCCCAGGAAGCTTTCTGGTGCTAGGGCGGAGCCGGCGCCTTTGCCCTGAGCCCTGGCTCCACAAGGCCTCACTGCGTTGCCAAGGTGTCCTGGCCGGCCTGGAACTCGGGGTCCTCCTGCCGCACCTCCCAGCATGCTGAGGTGATGGCGTGTGTCTCCACGCCTGGCTCAGAGACCTTGTGCAAGGGTTAGGTGACAAGCCACAGCCTCGCTCCAGAGTGCGCAGGGCTGTTCGTGCTCCTGCTTCCTGCGCCCCAGTGTGACAGTAATTGCTCGCTCCCTGGAGGGGCAAGTGCCTTCCAGCCCTTTACCTCCCGTTTCACCGTAAACTTAGCAGCGGCATAAATAAGATCATCTGAGGCACTCTGACCTTGAGTTCGTGCAGATCCTCCTGCCTTGGCCTCCCCAGTGCTGGATGGAGGCGAACGTCACCACGTTTTGCTTGGAACTCTGGTTACTTGTTAGTTATTAAGCCTGACTGGAAATGGCTCGCACTCCCAGACGCGCTCCTTCACCACCATCTCTGGAACAGGGAACGTCTACTTTGAGCTGAGGTCCAGGGGAGACAAGTATGGCAAACTAAGTGGCATGGTGCCCTGTCCGGCCACAGAGGCAGGTGAGTGACATGGCTGAGGTGCACCCAGAACCCCCCGGGTCAGCCCTTCCAGAGCGTGTCCACCCTGCCCTGGCCACACCCACTTGTGTCCTGTTGTGCTGCTGTGAGTCCTGCAGTTCTGTGTCCTTGCTGTAGGGTTCTCCAGCCTTCAGGAAGCTGTGGGTCTGCTGTGGGGCCTGGCTCACGTGGGGAGGAGCAAGGCCCACGCATGAGGAGCCCTGAGGCCCCGGGAGGAGGAGCAGGTGTCTGAGGCACTGGCCTCGTGTCGCCTGTTGTGGAGGGCCGGGCCTGGGCATCCCCCTGGTGAACCCTTCCCGTTACAGTGGACTCGGACAAGCGGTACGCAGGCGACTTTGCATTGTGGAAGGCGGCCAGGCCCGGGGAGGTGTCCTGGGCCTCACCCTGGGGCCACGGCAGGCCTGGCTGGCACATCGAGTGCTCCACCATCGCCAGGTGAGGCCTGCGCGCTTTGCCTCGAGTCAGGGCCTGGGCTCCTGGACCTGCCCTGTGGGACCCTCCCAAGTGGGAATGGCGGGGTGGCCCCATGGCAGCATGGCAGGCCAAGGTCGCTTTCTTCTCCCAGGATGCCTGTCACCCAGACGTTCAGACTGAAATGTTTATTACCGAAAGGGACGCACCGCCCCAGTCCCCTCGAAAGCTGCCCATCATCCTGCCCCTTCTGGCAGGAGCTCTAGGGGGCGCTCTCGAGTATCTTTAGTTGACTGCCCTTATGGTTATTGTGACTTTGGGAAGAGCCAGGAGTCACACTGCCAGACCCGTGGCCGAGGTGCACCAGGGCACAGCGCCGTGTTTCTGTGAGCTGCCTTTTGTTGGATCATCATTTTGTGGGCAGCATCGCTAACCGTGTTTTTGATTGCACCTCGTAGAGAACCTCAGAGCTCCTGCAGAAAGACAGGAGTGGTGGGGAGCTGTGGCCAACAGGACGGCAGTGCATGGTACTGGGAGCGATTCTTTTCTTAAGTGCTTGCGCAGTGTCTGATGGTCCCTCCCACTGCGCCTGGGCTGCAGGTGCCCCGGATCGGGTGGGGTGCAGGTGCTGGCTACACATTGAGATTTTCACCCACCCACTCATGGCCCTGGAGAGGGGCGCATGCCCACGCCCGCCCGCTGAGCCCCTCCCCAGGCCCGCTGCAATGCCCTGTCTTGCAGCGCTGTGTTTGGGAGCCACCTGGACGTGCACTCGGGCGGCGTGGACCTTGCCTTCCCGCACCATGAGAACGAGATTGCGCAGTGTGAGGCCTTTCACCAGTGTGCGCAGTGGGGCAACTACTTCCTGCACTCAGGTGAGCATGGTGCTTGTGTGGCCCTCACTGGCTGTGGGAACATGTGGCCAGGCTGGGGCTGAGGGCAGCCCTTCCCATGGGAAAGTGACCCAACTGGGATGTGGGGAGGGCTTCCAGCTGCTGCACAGAGGACTTGGGACAGCCTGGCATGCAAAGGTGAGTGGGAAAACCACTGCCAGGTGTGGTGTGCGGGACTGTGCTCCCACCACTTGGGAGGCTGAGGCAGGAGGGTCACTGAGTTTGAGGCTTGGGCTACATAGTTCAAGAACAGCCTGGAACCCAGAGACTGTTTTGAAAAGCAAAGTCCCGTGGCACCCGAGACCCTATTGCTCCTGAGTCCCCTGCGTGGCCAACCTGTTGATCCCTGCTGTGCTCCCTGGAGGGGTAGACAAGTCCCCCTCCTTGCGACCAGGTCCTCGGGAGCAGCTGTGCCGGAAGTAGGTCCCGAGTCCCTTACGGCTCAGGTTAGTTGTGGCCTTTGGGCCCGGCTGGGAACACTAGAGCCATCTGGTGGCTGTGACATGTGGTTGGTCCTCTAGGACCGGTGTGACCATTGTGTCCTGAGGGCCCAGTGAGATGCGAGGTTTGGGGGCACAGGCAGGGTGTTGCCTGTGACGCGGGCCAGCTGGGAGACCTTGGCCTTCTAGCAGCGGTGTCGCCTCAGGGCTCCAGGGCAGGGCACAGCTGTAGAAGCTCACAGAGCCCTGAGACCTAGGTGTGGTGCCCAAGAAGTATAGCTGGAGACCGGAAGTCCTCCCTGGGCGCGGCAGCTGCCTGCTTCAGGCCCATGCTGTGCCTCCCTTCCGTCTACATGGCAGGACACAGTTCCCTTCTGGTTCTGATGTGGCTCAGTGTGTCCCCAAGGGTCCTTTGGTGGGGGCTGGGTGCTCCCTGAGGTAGGTACCTTTAAGAGCTCGTGCCTGCCTGTGGTCCCAGAACTCTGGAAGGCTGAAGCAGGAGGATCACATTGTCAAGACTGACTTGGACAGCACGGCAACTTGGTGAGATCCTGCCAGAAAATAAACAAGAGGGTTGGGGATGCAGCTCAGGATCCGTACTAAGCCTGCGGTGGTTCTCTTGGGACCTGCCCTCCTGGCTTCCTGCCTCTGATGCTGTCCACCGGGGCCCAGCCCTTGATGCCCGTGCCCGGGCACAGGAAACAGGAGCTAAAGCAACCTGCTCCTCACACAGCACAGAAAGTAGCTCAGTAAGGGACCCGCGCCAGGCCTGACCCCCATCTTGCCATGCTGTCCCTTTCGTGCGAGTCCCAGAGAACACCAACATTCTGACCCCAGCAACGCGTTCCATTTTCAAGTACTGTCGATTTAAAGTGAGCCGTGAGTGGCTAGATGATGTGTTAGGCAGAATGACATTGCTTTGTAGCTGCACTTTAAGCAGTTTTCAGAAAAACCATTCCAGGGAGTGGGGAGATGGCTCAGTGGAATAAGCACTTCCCTGGCAAGCGCAAAGGCCTGAGTTCAATCCCCAGTTCCGCAAAAAGGAAAAGAAAAGAAAAACCATTCCCAGGGCTGCGCAGCCCGGCCCGGCCTGGAACTCGGGGTGATCCTCCTGCCCCAGCGAGCACTGGACTTTGTCGCCTGGGCTGGGCTTGGGAAGGAAGAGCAGGGCCTTCCTCTACTGTCCCTCCTGGACCCCAGGGCGGCAGGGGGTGGGCTAGAGGCCATGGAGCAGGCCCTGTGGCTGTCACCTGCCTCGGGTGCCCCGTGTGTCCCGTGGTTGCCACAGCTCGGGTGGGCTGTCTGTTGCAGGGCACCTGCACGTCAAGGGCCAGGGGCAGAAGATGTCCAAGTCCCTGAAGAACTATGTCACTATCAAGGTAACGCGGACCACGGTCTCCTTGCCGGGCTTGCACTGTCCACGGGAGAACCACCCACCCCTCGCTGTGGCCCACCTCCCAGCAAGGTCGCCTCCCTCCTCAGACCCCAGAGGCCAGGCCACTCCCACCATCGGGGTCTCTTCAAGCCCAGTGAGGCTTTCTGGGTGGGCATGGAGGTTGCACCTTCCTGCCTCTGTGTCTCATCTTTTGAAACAGGGTCTCACTCTGCGGCCCACACGGGTCCCACACTTGTGGTGATCCTCCTGCCTCAGCCCCTCAGGGGCTGAGATGGAACCCCAGCAGTGGGTTTCATTGGCAGGTTCCATGCTGTATGCCACCCAGCATGTGGTTGTGTACAGCACTGGGGATTAAACCCAGGGCCTTTATGTTGAGCTCTGTCCCCAGCCCTTTTTAAAATTTTGAGGCAGTGTCTCACTAAGTCACTAAATTGACCAGTCTGGGCAAGAACATGGTCCTCCTGCCCCAGCCTCAGAGTGCTGGGGTGAGGGGCATGGACCCCACACCTGCTTCTCAGTGGGCCCATCTCCTCCCTCCCTGTGTTTAGTGCTGTCCTCACAGGTCACTGCGCAGCTGTGGGCCCATTGCCCACAGTGTCCTGCACATGGCCTCCTGGCCCCCTAGAGCCTGGCTGATAGGCCCGCAGGGAGGGTGAGTGGCGGTGAGTGTGGAGATGAAGCTGGACCCTCCGGCCTCTGCCCTTAGCGCCCCTCATCTGTCAGAGCCGCAGGCCTGAGTGACCCTGCTAACCGAGTGCTGCCTCTCCTAGGACTTCCTGCAGAGCTTCTCGCCTGATGTCTTCCGGCTCTTCTGCCTGCGCAGCAGCTACCGCTCAGGTGAGCAATGGCCGACCTCAGGCCAGATGACCTCGGTAGGCTGAGGCAGGAGGATTTCAGGGAGTTGAAGGCCGGTAGTGAGTTCAAGGCCAGCCTGGACTGCACAGCAAGGCCCTTCCCCCTCCCCCCCAGACTGCACAGCAAGACCCTGCCTCCCCACCCCCCCTTTGTTTTTTGGTGGAACCAGGGAGTGAACTCAGGCCCTTGTGCTTGCCAATTCTACTGAGCCATCCCCCCAGCCCCACACACCCCTTTCTTAATGGCTTGGAAAGGACAGGCCTAGGGACAGCAGGATGCACTCCCTGGCGAGCTCTGGCTGATGGTGGCCACTGGATATGTGTGTCTTCCTCAGAGGCTGGGAGAGTCCCTGGTCCTTCCAGCCTCTGGTTAGCAACCACCATGTCCTCTGCAGCCATCGACTACAGCGACAGCACCATGCTAGAAGCCAGTCACGTCCTGCGCGGCCTGGCCTCCTTTGTGGAGGATGCAAGGGCCTACATACGAGGACAGCTGGCCGGTGGCCCGGTCAGCGAAGCTGAGCTGTGGGACAGGTAAGCCGCCGGGGTGGCTCTTCGGGAGTCATGGTCCCACAGCGGGGCTTGTGTGCAGCCCTGCTTCGGGCGGTGGGAGCAGTGGGAGTTCTTCAGGCCTGGTCTCCAGGGTCCACAGTCAGTGGGTGTGCCGTGGAGATAGCTTAACAGCATAAGTGCCTGCCTGGCAAGCGCAAGGTCCCAAGTTTGATCCCCAGTACCATGGGGATAAAAAAACCCCAAAACCATACACAGAGAAGGACTGGTGGAGACGTGGATGGCTCAGGCGCGCACCCACATCCCTGCGCTCTGGGAGGCTGAGGCAGAAGGGCCATGGTTTCGAGCTCAGCCTGGGAATTTACGGAGAGCTACTTGTTAAGGGTGGGGCCTGCGTTCAGCACCCAGACTGCAGGAAAGAGGGAGAGGAAGGGGCGGATTGGGGTCACGAGCCACAGTCAGGGCCTTGGGGCCTGGAATGAACAAAGTCAAGGGCGCCGTGCCCGTAGTGGCCTGAACGGCATGTGCGTGCGGGCTGAGCCACACTGCCACCCCTGCAGGCCTGGAGGGCCCGGGCCTGGGCTCCAGTACCCTGGAGCTGGCAGCGCAGGGCATGAGCACAGCTCCCGGGGCCAGCACGGAGAGAGCGCAGAGCCGGGCTGGAGGAGGAAAGGGAGGTTGAGGCAGGAGCACCGGAGCAGGAGCAGTACCTGCAGGGCCTGGAGGTGGGGATGCTGGGCCCGTGGGGAGGGGAGGGCACCGCTGGAAACAGGGCACAGGCTGCTGCTTCATGTGGGCTGCGTGGCCCGGGCCTCCTGGACTCGGCAACAGGACTGCTCGGCCCGCTTCCCTGCGCCCCAGTGCGGCATGCCACGACCATCCCCGGCTGCCAGAGCCCCTGCTGTCCCCTGCTGTCCCCTGCCTGAGCCTCAGTCCATGCAGCTGTGCTGGTCCCCACCGCCCAGGTGACTCCGGGAAGCCTGAGGGGCGGAGCCTCGTGTCCCACCGCGGCCCTGCCCCACCGGCACAGGAAGCTCTGTTGGCACCACTCACGTCCCGTGGTCCTCCTCAGGCTCAGCCGCACCCAGGCCACTGTGCAGGCCGCACTGGCAGATGACTTCGACACGCTGAGGGCGGTGGATGCCATCCTGGACCTTGTGCGCCTGGGGAACAGGCAGCTCCGGGTGGCTTCTGAGGTAACTTGGGGCCCTCAAGGCCTCTCCCAGGGAGCCACTGTGCTTGCCACTCCGGAGCGCCCGAGTCTCCCCGAAGACCTCTCTGTGGGCCTCCTGGCTGTCATGGCCAGAGGACACGCGCCCATGGGCGAGACCCCAGTTCCCATGTGGATAGCGCGTCACATATTCGTCAGCTTCCCCACAACAGAGTGCGCCGCGAGACGTTGTGCTCTTGGGTTCAGTCAGCTCATGGTTTCAGGGGATGCAGTCCGCAGTTCCCCGCTCTGAGGCCTCAGTGTGGCTGTGGAAGGGTGTGGGCAGCAAGGCTGTGCAGTTCATGGTGGACACAAAGCAGAGCATGAGAACAGGGACCGCAGACACAGGCCTTGCACCATGGCCCTGGACGCGCCTGCCAGTACGGCTGCACTCCAGCGTGCACTTGAGCCTCAGGATGAGTTTCACTGTCCGCTCTGCGCATGACGCTTCCCAGAGGGAAGCATCTAGGGGGCGCGCGGGAGTCCAGTGCTCAGCACCAGGGCCAGCTCAGCAGGCACCTGGGTGTTGGACAGGCGGGGACAGGGAACAGCAGCTCCTGTCCCTGCAGATACTAAGGGTTGCCCTGGCCAGGGCTGGTCCTTGCTCTTGGGGACCCATGTCTGGGAGCGCTGTCACCATGCAGGACAGGGAAGGTCAAGAGCTGTGGACACCATGGAGTCTGTCCTGCTCCAGGGCCTCTGAGCACAGGGATCCTGGCCACACCCTCTCTGCCCCAGCGCAGCACTGCTGGAGGGCTCCATGGGGCCTGCTGGGCTTATGGGTTGGGCCAGGAGGCAGCGTCTATGACAAGTCTCCGGGCCGCTGTCCTGCAGTGCTGGGAGGGTCCAAGTGTCTGGCACAGCTGAGGGGGGACCACAGGTGCGCATCGAGCCCTGCTAGTCACTGTGTTGCAGGGCTTGTGAGCCGTGGGACAGTCCCAGCTGCTATAGGAATTGGTGTCAGGCCTCGAGGGTGACCAGCAGGGCCATGTGGGCCCAGCCCGCAGCTGTGGTGCCCTGGGGCCTCCCTGGCCAATGCTTTCTCTCTGTGAAGGCTGCAGCTCTGGGCCAGGCACGGCCATTGGTATCCTTACAGGAAGGGTTGGGTGTGGAGGGTGTTAGGGAGGAGGCTGAGGACCAGTGAGCCTGGCCCCGCCTTCAGGGGATGTGTCTCACCAAGGAGCTGCCCTTCCACCACTGTGCCCCCACACTGCCAAGGCTATGTGTGCCCACAGGAGCCTGCTGATGAGCTGGTGCCGCACCCCACATGACAGATGGGGAGAGCGAGGCAGGCTGCCTGGGACACCCTCACTAGTACAGGCTGCCAGAGCTGGCTTGTGTCCTGGCCCGTGGAAGCTGTGGGCCACCAGGAAGAGACCGCTGGCACCGTGTTCTGACACACAGCACCCCTCTCTATTTACTTGTTTTTGTGGTGCAAGGCATTGAACTTGGGCCTTGGGACCTTGCACTTACCAGGCAGGCGATTAAGCCTGCTGAGCAATATCCCTGGCCCTATTTATTTCTTGACAGGGTGTCACTGTGCAGTTCAGGCTGCCTTGAACTCACAGTGGTCCTCCTGCCTCACCCTCCTGAGTGCTGGGACAGCAGGTATGTGCCACAGCACCTGGCTTACCCGTCTCTTGCAGGGCCTGGGGGGTCCGAGGAGCCCCGCTGTGCTGGGTGCCACTGTCGCCTATGTGGAGCAGTTCTTCGAGACTGTGGGGATCTCTCTGGCCAGTCAGCAGGTTGGTGCCCTGCATCCTCTTGGGCCTGTTAGAGTGGCTGTGTTCCCCCACCCCTTGCAGTGCCCACCTGAGGGACATAGTGCCCCATGAACTTGCGGCGTGGCTAAAGATGTCACTGTCCCCAGAACACAAAAGCATTCTGAGGCACTGGCACTGGTGCTTGACCAGGGTGCCCGACCATGTGCACAGCAGAGTGTTGCTGGGGTGGCTTTCTGCCACAATCTGCCAGGTGCTCATGTGGCCGTGGCTTTGTGCAGCCCAGGACTTCTCAGAGGGGCAGCTCTGTCCTGATGCACTGCACAACCCTTGGTGTCCTTGTGGGACCCAGCCAGGCTGTACTCTGCTCACTGGGTCCCAGAGGAGGGCTGGCACTGCAAGCTGGTGGTGTGGGTCTCACGTTGCGTGGAAGTGGCTGTGGGGCCCTGCTGTGTGCATGCACACACATGTACACACACATACACAGAAACCTGCTGCTCTAACTCACCTGTACAGCTTGAAACCTGGGCTCGACCCCGCTGGAACCTCCCCTGCCCCCTCCCGTCACCCCCCCCCCCCGGGTCCACAGACTGCTCTCCTCACCAGGCTGCTCCCCAGCTCCCCAAGGTGACCCTCAAGGCCTAGCCCCCTGGGCAGTGCCTGGCAGCCCGGCCCTCAGCACTGACCACACCCTTGGGTCTGGTCAGTGGGCAGACTGCTAACCACAGGCACTTGACTGGCTCAGTACTGCATTGACAAGTGGCTGGCCACTGCCACGTGGGACCTGGGTCCTGTGACAGGGCTTAGCCCCTCTCGGGACCTGTACTTGCTGCCCTGGGACCTCGCCCACACCTGGGGCTCTGCACCCACAGATGACCTGGTGGGTAGGATGCCTTGCGGGCATTGTGGAGGCTGCTGGCAGTGCTCACAGGGGCTGTCCCCAGCCCTCTGCCCAGTGCTGTGTATGGCTGTGGGTGTGGCTTCCAGGCTGCAGCTGAGTAAGGAAAGGGCCAAGCTGGGTCTGGACCTGGGCCTAGTCTACAGCAGCTCTTTCGCCTCAGCCTCAAGGTGTAGGCTGCCGCAGGCTCACACCTGTCTGCAGCAGAACTCAGCCTCTGTACCGGGTGAGGGGGTAAGGCTGACCACCACACACACTGGGCGTGCTGGGCGCTGGCCTACTCACAAGCACAGCTGGACAGCACAGCGGCCGCTCCTGAGCAGGTGGGAGGAAGCCCAGAGTCCTGCCAGCGCTGGGTCCTCTCAGGTGCCCAGGTTTGCTCAGCTGCCTGCAGATCTGCCATCCATCCATCCATCCATCCATCCATCCAGGTGACCACTGTGTGTGACACCGTCACTTTGGTTCATAGTCAGGCTGCTAGGGTTGGGCTGAGCTGTGCAGCAGGGCCTGTGCTCCCACCACAGGGTGCCCAGCACCATGGAAGAGTGGGGAAGCATCTTCTCGCCCAAGAGGCAGCGTCAGCTTGGCTCTGAAGCTGGGCCAGCACATCCCTTCTGGGTTCCTGAAAAGGCCACCTGGAGGAACTGGGAATTCCAGGCCGGGGTGCCGTAGCCTGCCGCATGCTTGCCTACCAGTGTCACGCACAGTGTGTTGCAGGAGACAGCAGCACAGCCACCCTGCACAGCGTAGTCGACGAGCTGGTGCGCTTCCGGCTAAAGGTGCGGCAGTTTGCACTGGACACACAGGCAGCCACTGGGGATGCCCGGCGACAGCAGCTGCAGGAGAGGCAACCCTTGCTGGACGCATGTGACACGCTTCGCCAGGACCTTGCTGCCCACGGTATCAGCATTAAGGTGAGTGTGGCTATCCAGGCAGGGACGCCAGGACATGTCCACACGAGCTTGTGTCAGGTGTAACACTGCCAACAGCGCACATCTCTAAGCAGCCACCATGCTAGGTGTAGGGGCGGAAAGGGCATCAGGAGAGGGTCACCAGTTAAGTGTAGGTGGGCTGGAAGCCAGGTCTGCCCCCACCCTCTGCAGCTGGAGTATGGTGACAGACCCCCTCTTCCTCCAGGACAGAAGCAGTGTGGCCTCCACCTGGGAGCTGCTGGACCCACGGACAGCACAGCAGAAGCCGGGAGGCTGAGGACCGCAGGCCGCAGCTCTGCTCCTCCCCAAGGACTTCATGTTTTCAACTGTGACTCTTTAGCCACATTAAAATAAAGCGACCATGGGGGCCTGCCCCTTAGTTCTTTAAGTGGCTGCTTTAATAAAGCAGTCAGGTTCAGGTTGCTGTGGTTCGATCCCCACAACGCAAGCCAGCCAAACCTGCCCTGAAGGCATTCAGATAAAATAAAACGACCACCCATCCCCACCCCGCAGTGTCTGCTGTCCCTCTCCCTGACTCCAGAGATGTGCAGCCAGTGGCCACTGCTCAGTTCAGTAGCGCCCCCTAGTGGCTCAGCAAATCTAAGGCAGCCAGCAGCCTGGGCACATGCAACCTGCAGGCCCACTGCCCAAGGATGACACTGCGCTGGGGGAGCCCAGGGGACCTGAGTCACAGGGCTGCAGGGCCCGAGTGTTCCACGTGAGGAAGGCAGCGGGCGGCTGTGCCATGGTGGGTGCATCCCAAGGTAGGTTCTGGGTGAGGAAACACCCCGGTACAGAATGACTCAGGCTGGAGGTGACAAGACTGGGCTCCTTGGTGATCCCATGCCTGGCCTGGCGTGTCATCACAGGTCAAATGCACAAGCAAGAGAAGATAAGCCTTCTCAGACTCCAGGTCTTCTGCCCTGGCCAGGCCTGTCCTGTGGTGCCCACCAGCTTATGTGCTTAGTGGCAGGGCTTTCTGAAGGTGACTGGACTGTGGGGAGTGGCACTGCTGCTGGACCACTGCAGTTACAGCTCTGTGCTGTTGGCACGGGGCCAGGCCAGGGGAGGCGTCACGGGCATGGCCTGAGGGTTAGCTCCCCTCTCGCCCTGAGGTCTTACAGCCTGTGTGGGGAGCTGCAGGGGTCAGGCAGGTGTCCTGGCTGCCCGGTGACCAGGCCATGCTCTCCTGCTGGGCACGTAGCCAGGCACAGCCGAGGGGCGGATGGTGTGGCCTGCTCTCTGGTGTTCCCTCTATCCTGGTGGCAGGGCTGCCCCTTCCACGTGTGGAACCACAGGCATGAGCGTTGTGAAGGACATGTCACTACCCACATCAAGCACACTTGATGCTAAGCAGAGGAACTCCGGGAGTGGAAAAAAGCCAAGCGTACCTCCTGTGACCACTGAGCTTTATTTCTCTGGAAGCAGTGGCTGTTCAGGAGGGGCAGGTGGGCGATGGGCAGATCCGCTACTCTGGCTGCCTGAGGCTGCAAGTCTCCGGAGCGCGAGGCAGGCTCAAGCACCACCTGGCGTGGCAGCGAGGCCTCGGCCAGGGCCGATGGTGGGGTAGTCCACAGCCTCGTGTGAGCCAGCACTGACCACTGCCCAGCCGCTGCCCAGCCGAGACACTGGCCATGCAGGACCGCCAGGGTACAGATGGGGAGGGGTGTGAGGGCTTGGCCTGCCGGTCTGCCCTGCTGCACCACAAGCCACAGGACCTCCAGGTACACCTCTTATCCCTGAGGACCTTTGTCATAAGTGGTAGGGTCCGAGGAGCCCAGAGGGCAGGTGAGGACAGGTCCCAGGACAGAGTGGCAGATGTGGACTTGAATTCCACCTTTTTCATGTTCTCAGCCACACGAGGGGCAGGATGGCTGGATGGCGCCTAACCCTGCCGCACCTCTCGGCTCAAATGAGACCATACCCTGCCCCTCGCCCCTCGCCCCTCGCCAGCCAGTCTACGGGGGCCACACCTAGTGCCCAGGGAAGCTGCCGCCCCATGGCTCCTTCACCCTGCTGGCTCAGGCCTCAAAGAGCTCCCGGAAGGCGGCCCCGATCTCGGCGATCATGTCGCTGGTGGTGGTGGAGCGGCCGTGCTTCTGGAAGGCTTGGCGGTTGCACTGCCGTGTGAGCGAGCATGCACCAAGGGCGGCCAGCAGCAGCGGGGGGGAGCTGGAACGAAACCAGAGGCTGAGCTGCAGAGGGCACCCATGGCTGCCCACGATCCCACAGAGGGGATCTGGTTCTTCTGTTGGCTTCTGTTATTGTGGGATAGCCAAGGCTGCCCTCAAACACCCATGATTCTCCTGCCTCGGCCTCCCCAGTGCTGGGATCACAGGTGGGCAATCTCTGTCCTGAACACCTTCTGTACCCTCACCACCTCTGGGAGGACTCCACACTCAAGCTACTGAGAACAAAGGAAGCCAGCAATCCCAACAGCCATACCCATTTGTCTTCTCCGGCCCAGCGAGGAGGGCCCAATAGGCCATGACACCCAGGGAGCCGGACAGCAGGTCCCCTTGTCCCCCGCACCTGCGGCCACTGCCTTCCAGGCTGCACTCAAGCACTGTGGAGCACACGGAGGAGTCAGGTCCACGGCCAGCACACAGCCCAGGGGGCCAGCTGAGGGCGGTTCCGAGAAGAGCACTGGGCAGTGGGCCGGGCCCCATGTGGTGCCCACTTGGCGGTGCACCCGCCTGTGCTGTGCTGGCCTAGGAGTCTGTGGGTGCCGAGTGTGGAGGGCCCCTGTGATGAGGACTACTGCCACTGTTCTGGGCCCTCAGGGCACCCACCCTACTGCGCTCCAGGCCGTGGCTGGGAACACACAGGCTCTCCACTCTGGGAGCCAGAAAAGCAGCCTGGGTGACACCATGGCCCTGTCCCTTGCCCATCCTCAAAGACCAGCCACACCCAGGGTGCAAGGCCACCACCATCCCCATCTGCCTAGGCTGCTTGTGTGTGGGTCACTGCGTGAAACTCAGGTAACTGTATGGGCTGGGGGAGGGCAGCTGGGGACGCCAACCAAGGCTGTAGCCCACCGCCCATTCCTGTGGACCCGGAAGCAGCCTTATGGCCCACATGACCCAGTGACCAGGGCCAGGCTGCCCAACCCTGAGCCTGGGGAGGACACCTGCCCTGTTGCTCCACTCACCCTGCTGGCCATCAGAGATGAAGTCATGCTCCCCTTTTAGGACCACTGTCACGTTCCCCAGGGCCCGGCTGAGCCTCAGGACAGATCCACGGGGATCAGTGCCATCCACAGGGCCGCTGAGCTATGGTGACACAGGAAGTCAGCTCGCGTCCCAAGTTCTTGACAGCCCAGGCACAGGGCAGCCCTGTCTTGTGATGTCCCAGGGGATTACCGGGCACCTGTTTGAGACCAACTGTGGAAGGGGGCCTGCGTACACCTGTGAGCAGGCACACGGTGCCTGTCCTCCGGCTGGTCGGACCTGAAGTTTGCCAGCATAAAATCTGATGACTACACTTGGGGACACTTCCTGTGTAAGGACACCTGACTTTACAAGTTCTCCTACTCCGTCCTTACCCAAAGAGCAGATGTCATCACCATCCCTGGTCAGAGCAGAGGGGGCAGCTGCCCATGAGCCTGTATGCCACAGCCTACCACATTGCTGTCCACCCAGCCCACAGCCACCGCATGGAAATGCAGGTGAGAACCGTGAGGAGCTGGGCTCCTGTCCCACGGTGCTCACTCACCACAGCCTGGTGCAACCTGCTGAACTCCACGTGGTTGGGGGTGAGGACAGCCTTCTGGTACCCAAGGATGAGCGCAGGCCGCTGGGCTACCACCCACAGTCCATCCTGCACAGGACAAGAACGTCTTCAGCAGATGGGCCCCACACTAGCCGAGCAGGGGGAGGAGAGCCACACTTACCGCGTCGATGACCACAGGGATGTCCCTGGCCTTTGAGGCTGTTAGAATGACCTGCCAAAGAAAGTACACTGGTCACGGGCCAAGCAGCGCACGGTGAGACCAGACCTTGGCCGTCCAGAGGTAAGCAGAGCCAAGGGGAAGGGCAAGCCTAAGAGCCCTGGGGCAGCTTGGGTCCCCAGCAGGCACCTGGCCCTGCCAGCTGCCCGCATCCAGGGTGGGGCTTACAGAGACTCCACTCCTGGGAGCTGCCAGGCACCGCCCTGTACTTTCCTTCCTCTTCGTTTACATGATTTAACACAGGGCAGGGGTTAACACAGAACCACTTTTCCCTTGACCAGATCTTAACTTTATGCTTTTAAGTGTTAACTATTTTTTTATGTATTACAGGGTCTACAGGGTCCACAACACAGAGTGGACTCAGTGATCCTCCTGTTCTCAGCCTCCCAAGAGCTGGGATTACAAGTGTGTGCCTCCACGCCTAGTCTCAATCACCATCTCAGAGCACCCAGGGATGGAGTCAGCATAGCACGCTAGGAATTGAGCCCTCTGCCTCTGCCTCTGCCTAAGTAGGTGCTTTAATTCATAAAAAGCTTTTTAAAAAGTGACACACATATGTAAGCAAAACAGGGTTTTTTTTTAATGTATTTAGTACAGGGTATGCAGGGTCTCATTACACAGATCACACTCTGAAGGACCCTCCCGTTTTCAGCCTCCCAAGTGCTGGGAGTACAGGTATGCACCACCACGCCCAGTCTTAATCACTGGCTCAGTGTGCCCTGGGGGCAGGGCTGACGCAGCACGCCTGGGATGGAACCCTGGCCCCTGCGTGTAAGCAGGTGCTACCTGGCCAGCCCCCAGGGTTGTTTCTTATTACAAACCAGCATGTTATGACAAACTCATGCAGCAGCTGCATGTACAATGATCTATGCTTCAAAACTCAGTTTCAGAAAACTCGAGGGCTGTAAGATACATACAGTTAAAGCTGCTCAGGGACATGGACCCATGAAAGAGACAAACCCATGCCACCACAGGCTCCCCGGCAGCCCAGGCTCTGTGCAGGACAGCTCCAGCTGTGGACTGCGCCTGCGACTTGCTGGGTGGCAGCCGCAGCTGGTGACGTGTGAAGCCAGTCTCCTTTCCTAACAAAGAGAATTGTCGGTGTCCACACCTTTGGCTTCCTGGTATGCGCAGAGGCTTCTGCTGACGCTGCCTTTACCCCATTTCCCATTTTATGGTGTGGTATTGACAATTTGTCACCTTCTCTTCAAATATTTACAAAGATAGCAGCCCAGAATGAACAGCCCAATGCTGGAAAACGCTTGGTTCAACACAAGCAGCCCTCAGGGCCTGCAGCACCTGCCTGTGCATGGAGTCGGTGGGAGAGCAGCCAGCCGCAAGCTGAATCCACAACTGAACTCCTAGTAATGCTTCCAAAGAATGCCTGAGTGGAAGTCACATCTACCTACCTACACACATACACTACAGAGAGCCCTTTTTGTTCCTTGTCTCTGAGAAGTTTGTATTTATAATCCCATGGATAAGTTATTGGAATCCCATCAAGTTAATTCCAACCTACCACTTCCAGTGCAACCTACGATGAGAATAAAGACACTAAAGTGTATTGACAGTTATGGGGAGCCCAGGGGTCCTAAGTTAAGCCATGATAATGGCTATCTGGAACAAAGGCCTCGACCCAGGGCGAACCCAGATTTTATTCTGTCATGAAGAATGGCTTGAGGATGAATGACTGAGAATGGCAGGAAGTAGGTGAGTGCTGTGAGCTGGGCCAGGTTGGAGGCCGCATTTACCCCTGCAGTGTGCAGAGGATAATCCGCATCCCACAACTGAGACAGTATCTGATGTTTGGGATCCTGTGCTTCAGCACTCATGTGTAATCTTTCAAGCTCTAAGAAGTCAGCCTATCTTGAGGCTCATCCCAGCCAAAATGTGGAGCACTGGCTCTTTGTCCTGTCTCAACTAGGCTCATTCATATTAAGAGCAACAGGTGGGGCTTATCAGGGAAACACGCAGCGTGGATTGCTTAGTCGACTGAAGGGCTGAAGTGATAAGGCCAAGTCCTAGCCAGCTCTGTACATGTCAATACATGGGATAGGGCCAGGCATAGCCAAAATGGAGCCAGCTGCTCTTTCAAGGAGAGCTGCTCAGGTGGTCTTCCACAGTATGTCACAACGAACAGGAAAGTAGCTAAAAATAACCTAAATCCTCATTAGAAGTTACTGTACAATTATCACAAGGAACCAGAGCTCTGGAACGCGTGTGTACGTGTGTTTGTGTGTCTGTGCATGTGTGTGTGCCGGCTAGGAGAGCACCAGGGACTGCAGACCAAGGATGTGGGGGTAGGCCTTCAAGATTCAGATAGCGGGGCTGGAGAGATGGCTCAGTGGTCTAAAGCACCTACTTAGAACAAGCTTAGCAAAGCATCAGGGACCGCGGTTCAATCC